ACACACACGCAGACGACCTGGTTTCTGAGTATAAATCAGCCTTTAGATCTCCATGGGAACAGCAGATCAGCTGGAAGGGACGGCCAATGATTGGCTCGCAGTGGCCATGGCCCCCCTGCTCCCCCTTTAGCTCAGCTTTGAGTTAGGTTCAAACACTGCAGTGGAATTATTTTATACACCGATTTCAGTTAGCTCATAATAATGAATTTGCTCACTTTATAAATTATAATTTTGCCTTTTATAAAAAGCAGTTTCATAGAGTATCACACAATTTGTTGAAGCCTGATCTGATAATCAACTTAAACTAAAACAACTCTTCTGCTTTGGCGTACTCACATGAACAGCTTCTCTGTAAAGACTTTATTTTCACCAGCACTAAATGATTATCCTGTTTGATTGATGTCCACAGCTTGATGGGGGCTCGCTCTGCTGTTAGATAACACCAGCTGCTTATAGCTGAAGGGAATCCCAAACCTGTCGACCTGCAGCTCTGCTCCTATTTCAGCTCCTGGATAAGCTTTATGAATACTGACTTTCACACTATTTATACTCGGCGAGTTGATCAACTGTATGGGAAACCTGAACCGTGGTGTTGCTGTGTATCCTCTGAAGCTGCAAGTCCTCACAGCAAAAGCCCAAACCAGACAACAATACTGATGAATCTATGATCAGCAAACTAAGTCTGATGGATGGAGCTGCAGGAAAGTTTAACTGCATTAACAGAAAACTGTAAAGGCCTAGTCTCTATTTGGTTAGAGCTTATGTTTTAAGCAAAGGATTTAAAATCTCCAGAAACCTTCATGCTTAAATAAAGAAGCTTAAAATCATTATTAAGCAGCAAATAAGGTCAACCGCTACGAATCCTAGAAAAGGAAATCACATTGACTTTTGGGTAGGTAGACTGTGGAGGATTAGAAATATGTGTTTTATTAGTTGCCAAATAAATACCAAGGCAATATTCTGTAAAAAAACAAATAAGCAGAGGTGGATAAATGCGGCTCCAGGGAGCAAAAACCCTGCAGAGGTTTAAGTGATGGAAAGCAACAAAGTAAATGTGCTTGATTTACTTTTTTGAGTATGTCTTTAATTTAAAACCTGGCAGATAGAAGCCATTAGGACTGAAACTGGACATCAATGTTTTAGAGGATATTATACATAGCTGATACATTTTTTTTTATATCTGTGCAACTATACAACTGTATAGTTTATACAGTTATACATACTTGCAACTATCTCAGAGCACAAGCGCACTGTTATAACCCACTAGGCTTATAGTGTCCATAAATAATGTAATTATTGTACTAAAATTACTTATTTCTATCCTTAACTCCCTAAAGAATGCTAATACACATCTTTGAAAAATGCTTTATGAGTTTTCTGAGACACTTTTTATGCTTTTTACATCTTCGTTAAACTGCTTCTCTGATCTCATCATCATACATGCTCAGAGCGGTCCAGCAAAATATGATTAAACCGTGTTTATCTTCATTTTAGCTGTTTCTTTCTTTAGATTATACATAATATACCATAATGTTAACAAGAAAAGGAAACATAAAACCTAAAAAGACTAGATTTATGTTTAAATCCAAAGCTGAAAAGTTAGCTCCCCAAAGGAGCAAAGGATCCCATTTCCAGTGCAGATCAGGCGCAGATGAGCAATTAAACAGACAGAATTTTAAGTCATTTATTTTCTCAGGAAATACATTATGAACCTTTATAGTTTAGTAAGCTTACTATTTTTGTGAAGGGAAAGCAGGGAAGAAGGGAAGCATACATAAAAATTGTGAGAAGTTCTGTATCCATTCTTTGCCTGTTTTTGTCAACTGTAATGGTTGCTAAGCGACAGAGCATAAGGCCGGTGAAAGCTAGAGAAGGCTGGACCTGTTTGAATCCAAGACCAAATCTCTTCCACCCTCCTTATTTTCCAGAACCTCAAAGGACCCAATCCTTGAAGACCGGGTCCTTGGAGGATGCAGCCTTTGAAATCGAACACACCCTGTGTTTCACAAGAGGTTTATTTTTGACAACAACCCATGCAGCAGCAACTGTGATGCTGATTAAAATGATGATATATATATTTTTTTATTCATGGATAATATGAAAATGAAAATAGTTTGCTGTTTTTTTTTTCAATATTTTTATTTATGTCAACTGTATTAAACACAGGTGTCTTAGTATTTGCACTATTTTGAATTAAATTTAATGAAATTTTAAATTACAGCCTCATTCA